AGTTCGCATCTAACCAGAAACTGCAAAAATCAAATGTGATGAATGGATTTGCAATTGACTTGGATAAGAAAAATGTTTTATTATGTTACAAATTGCAGACATGCAAAGGGCAGGACAAGCGGAAAGCATCTGTGTGGCAAAAGGAGAGTACAAACAGAAGCCAAGTAAAGGCAAGATCATTCAAATGTGTCTCATTAAAGAAAGAAGCCGTAGACTTAAGAGGAAACTTGCAAATCAATATGGTGGAACTTTGTTTGGACGGTCCAGTGGCTGAGAACGGACCTGCAGCGCCCCACGGTGGTCAACAAATGCAAATGGAAGAAGACTGGCAATAGAAGTTGAGATGTTTGAGATGAAATGTGATTTAACACCAACTAACACACACACACACACACACTTTATAACAGAACTGGAAATGAAACAGAGTTAAGGGCAAAAGCAATAAACGCTCTGGGTGACAACAGAGACCAGGAAAGGTCACCTGGTGTGGAAGCAAATGGTTTGACACATTAATGAAAATGCCTGCGCAAATGTGTCCAAAATTAGGTAACACGCTAGCCAGGTGACGCACTAGCTAAGCTACAAAACAAACAAGAATGAATAAAGTTTAGATGCTACATATAAACGATTTGGCTTCATGATAGACCAACAATGCCACCTAGTGGTCAAATGGGAAGGATTCCTATCTTTGATGTTAATCATCGCAACAAAACATTGACGAATTCTAGTGTTCAATGGCCATAAGAAACAGTAGCTACATATTAAAGGGAACTATTTAATGACACCTTCCTGTATTGTCTGATAAGCAGCCTATAGACAAGGTATAAGAGCAAACCATCTGTTGGTTGTATTTCCCAGGCCCTGTTTTCAGACGGGGTCCAGTGAGCAGTGTTATCATATTCAAAGCACCTAAACCTGTCCGAAATGGATTGTGAAGCTCAAACATATCACCTGAACCTGCCGGAACTGACTTACTATGGATGACTACTGGAGTCACAGGTCTTCCAACCCATTGTGCCGGGCCAATCACATAACATCGTGCTTGCCTAAAACGACAGTGCCCTCTACTGGAACTAAACAAGAACGACTACACTTTCTTCGCTTATAACTATAGCAGCATTTTACACTTCAGTCAGTGTCAGGACAAACCACGTATCACCGGGTAATAAAAACAATAAGTAGTGAATTAACTTGGGCAAACTATCACTCTAAAGTGAAATGGTAGCTATACATTTATTTTATTTACGGTTTTCACCAAAGATAGAACAAGGAGCCAGATGGTCCAGCAGACGTATCAATATGAAGCATTCGTCAATTTACATTTCCAACCGGGAGAGGAAGACCAGAAGCCAATAATATCTTATCAAGTTTTATGTTCTGAAAACGAGAATAAGTTACTCTACCAGACAGTACTACCAGAACGGGCCAATACAACACATACATAGAATCTCGCCAATCCGATCTTGGGTCTGCCCCAATCGATTTACTAGCCTACCATTGAAAATAGCAGCGTGCCTTCTATCTTAAGTTTAGTGGTACAAATTGTTGATACCTAAGCTACGTTTGAACACAAGCAAATGCAATCTGACACGATTGAATGTACAGTATTACTAATACTATTAGCCAACTACGTTTGCCGTTCACTGTACATTATTGGCCAGTTAACAATTTAGCTAAAAACAACAATGTTCGGAAACTATGACGCTTGAAAATGCGTGCAAACTTCGTCCCTATGTTGCAATTGGTACACCGCTTTTAATAAAACCATCACATTACATAATAGTTGTTATGTTACATTGTCAAGCTAGTGGACTAGCTGGCTGCATCATTCAACAACCCGGAAGGCCAATGATAAAATGTGTCAACCAAGCATACTTTACCGTTTTAAACGGCCCTGATTAAAGGCAATTCTCTGGAAATGTAATTAGCTGACGTTAACGTGCGACTGCGGGCGGATAATAATGCAAATAGTTAGTGAGCAAACGTTCCAAATGCTGACTAGCTATGCAACATTGGCTAACGCTAGCCCACATCATTAGCTAACTTGGGTAGTATTTAGTGCAAATCATTTATGAATGGCTTAGCTGAAAGCCACTGACCTGTCAAGTAACAGCAATCTGCAACACAGATACCACTCACTGGGCTAACAACAATAGTCCCAGAGACATTAGTCGGAACATGTTTAAACAGATAGCAAACGTTAGCTCGCTAACCCACATTAGCAACACATCTACCGGTCACACGTTAGTCAACAATACCGTTACTGGCACAGTTTCTGTTTAAATCAATCACAACACAAACAGCCCATGTGACAACGAATCGTCTACAATAAAATATAAACATTATTGTACGTTTGAAAACAGAACAAATTCGATACGCAAACAACACTCGCCCAGGCCTAACAGTGTTAAATAGCTAGTGTTAGCAGGCTAACAATGCTAACGTAGAAATACTGACTACATTGTCGCTAGCTTAGTTGGTTATTTAATACCTAAATAAGGTAACAACACAATAATAACATTCGCTTATTTACATTAGGCTTCGTGATCAAACTAACTTAGAAACCGCATACTCTCCCACGAATGTTATTAGCTTAGCTAGTAGTTACCTGGCATCTCCAAGAGAGAACTAACCCTTATAAAGTGGTATAATCACCCACCCTGACGACTAACGAAAATCACCGAAATACTCACTAATTATTTAATGTAGAATTAACATTAACATCAGATAATCCTTGAAAAAAAATCCCGATTTGGCACGACACCCTAAACGAAAATATCGGAGGAAACTGTTTTTTTTTTATAAATTAATATTAAAATTCAAGATGGCGGCCAGCACAGGAGGAGCGAGGAGGAAGGCGCAGCACTGCCACCCAGAAGAAATAGACCCAATGAAAAATAGAGCCATTCTCGTCATTCGGCCACAATCATGTGCAATACTTTATGACTGCATATGTATTCAGTTGGTTTCACAGTGCCATCAAGGTTGCACCGATTCTTAAATAATGTTCAGTACAACTGATTTGTAAAAATTCTCGGATGTACACAAAAGTAGTGCTGCATAAACAAACCTCCAAACGCATCCTAAGATTTCAACCGCAACGATAGGATCTAGAATATAGCATCAAACTAGTAGATCTGCTTGCAGATACCCTGTTGAGCCAATGTTGTAATGGATTGTTTTTTAAATTAAGCTTTATTTTCACATTGTGAAACTTTATTGACACAAACTCCGTTCTGGAAAGTGTTTGTTAAAAGTTTATGTTCATATGTCTAAAGGTTTTATTCACAGGTCCAAGCAAACTCTAACAGCTGGAGATTGATATGAATGTAAAATATAAATTACCTTACCACCTGATTGTATAAAAAATTGGCAACAATCTGGATTCGAACCTGGCAGATGACCGGTTTTATCTTTCATTTGATGACTAATATCATAAAAATCTCATGTATTGAGTATCGAGGTTTTTGCGTGTCCTTGTGGGTTCGAACCCCAGTCCTGGTAGAGCAGTATAACTACGCTTAATTTCTCGTTAACAAAATATATAGTTTTCAATAGAGCAAAGGTGTCTTCTTTGTCACAGGACAAATCTATTTGAGGAATAAGATTCATCTGTCATTGGATGAATGATGTTTTAGAAACCTCATGTTGCGTACAAAGTATATATTTTTCAATTGAGCAGGAGTGTCTCCTTATGGCCTCAGGACAAATCTCTTAGAAGATTCTCATATATCTTTAAATTGAAGTCTGATTTCTTAAAAAAACTAATCTATTTACCCAAGTAGCAATGATGGGTTGGCCCAACGTTGGCTGTAAGTTGGCAATGACTTGCTAAACAGTGAAATGTTTATCAAGAACCTTGAGCAGGCTAGTTTTGATCAAGTTCAAAAGTCAAGCAAGCCTACCGAGGTAAACTTGGTTTTATATTCGCACATTCACATTCAACAGACATTCAACGGACATTCGACTGTTTGGAAAATGAATTAATTATAAGATGTAATTATGTTATATCATATAGGTATAGTATCTAACTTTAAATTGAGCTCAGGCGTCTTCTATGCTTTCAGACGCATGTCTTAGAGGAGTGTCTTTCATCTCTGGTCTGATTTCTTGAAAAACTCATCATTGATCATTGAAGTTTTATGGCGCTCCACAAAGCACAAGTATCGAAATCGTGTAATGAAAATTCACTCAGTTTTCATGTTTGAATGAACTGGAATGTTGTTCGATATGAAAAACATCCAGAAATAACCAGGATGGCCGAGTGGTTAAGGCGTTGGACTTAAGATCCAATGGACGCATGTCCTCGTGGGTTCGAACCCCACTCCTGGTATGACATTGTGAATGCGTCTGGCGTTCTCTCTCTGAAGCATATAGTTTCACATTGTGCACAGGCGTATTCTTTCGTTTTGGACGCATCTCTTAGAGGAATGTCTTTCTTCTCTTGTCTGATTTCTTGAAATTTCACTCAGTTTTCATTATTAAAAAAACACCGCCTCGGGCGAGACTCGAACACACAACCCCTGCATCTAACCCCGCCGTTGTCCTCGCCTCGCGTATACACCCTTATTCGAGCGGGTCAGAGTGACCCTCGATCTTTTTTCACAGCCCTCAGAGTTTTGCAAAAAGGAGGAGGAAGAAATACAACAACTTGCGCGTGTTTCACTGTTTTCGGTTTATTATTATTATCTTTATTAGTATTTATCGGCGAGGGCGAAAAAACCATCGCAACGGGCGAGGCTCGAACTCACAACCCCGGCATCTAAACTCGCCATTGTCCTCGCATCGCGTACACACCCCGAATCGAGCGGGTCAGAGCGACCCGCGATCTCTTTTCTCTGGTTTCGGACGCATCTCTTAGAGGAGTGTCTTTCATCTCTAGTCTGATTTCTTGAAAAACTCATCATTGATCATTGAGGTTTTATGGCGCTCCACAAAGCACAAGTATCGAATCTTGAATGAATTGGAATATTGTTCGATATGAAAAACATGCAGAAATAACCAGGATGGCCGAGTCCGTTGGACTTAAGATCCAATGGACGCATGTCCTCGTGGGTTCGAACCCCACTCCTGGTATGGTATTGTGTATGCGTCAGGCGTTCACTCTCTGAAGCATATAGTTTCAGTTTGAGCACAGGCGTCTTCTTTGCTTTCGGACGCATCTCTTAGAGGAGTGTCTTTCTTCTCTGGTCTGATTTCTTGAAATTTCACTCAGTTTTCATCTCTCATCTCATCTCATCTTCAACCGCTTATCCGTGGTCGGGTCGCGGGGGTAGCAGCTCTAGCAGGGGACCCCAAACTTCCCTTTCCCGGGCAACATTAGCCAGCTCTGACTGGGGAATCCCGAGGCGTTCCCAGGCCAGTGTGGAGATATAATCTCTCCACCTAGTCCTGGGTCTTCCCCGAGGTCTCCTCCCAGCTGGACGTGCCTGGAACACCTCTCTAGGGAGGCGCCCAGGTGGCATTCGTACAAGATGCCCGAACCACCTCAACTGGCTCCTTTCTATGCAAAGGAGCAGCGGCTCTACTCCGAGTTCCTCTCGGATGACTGAGCTTCTCACCCTATCCCTAAGGGAGAGGCCAGCCACCTTTCTGAGAAAACCCATTTCGGCCGCTTGTACCAGTTTTCATTATTAAAAAACACCGCCTCGGGCGAGACTCGAACACACAACCCCTGCATCTAACCCCGCCGTTGTCCTCGCATCGCGTATACACCCTTATTCGAGCGGGTCAGAGTGACCCTCGATCTTTTTTCACAGCCCTCAGAGTTTTGCAAAAAGGAGGAGGAAGAAATACAACAACTTGCGCGTGTTTCACTGTTTTCGGTTTATTATTATTATCTTTATTAGTATTTATCGGCGAGGGCGAAAAAACCATCGCAACGGGCGAGGCTCGAACTCACAACCCCGGCATCTAAATTCGCCATTGTCCTCGCATCGCGTACACACCCCGAATCGAGCGGGTCAGAGCGACCCGCGATCTCTTTTCTCAGGTTTCGGACGCATCTCTTAGAGGAGTGTCTTTCATCTCTAGTCTGATTTCTTGAAAAACTCATCATTGATCATTGAGGTTTTATGGCGCTCCACAAAGCACAAGTATCGAATCTTGAATGAATTGGAATATTGTTCGATATGAAAAACATCCAGAAATAACCAGGATGGCCGAGTGGTTAAGGCGTTGGACTTAAGATCCAATGGACGCATGTCCTCGTGGGTTCGAACCCCACTCCTGGTATGGCATTGTGAATGCGTCTGGCGTTCTCTCTCTGAAGCATATAGTTTCAGTTTGAGCACAGGCGTCTTCTTTGCTTTCGGACGCATCTCTTAGAGGAGTGTCTTTCTTCTCTGGCTGATTTCTTGAAATTTCACTCAGTTTTCATTATTAATAAAACACCGCCTCGGGCGAGACTCGAACACACAACCCCTGCATCTAACCCCGCCGTTGTCCTCGCCTCGCGTATACACCCTTATTCGAGCGGGTCAGAGTGACCCTCGATCTTTTTTCACAGCCCTCAGAGTTTTGCAAAAAGGAGGAGGAAGAAATACAACAACTTGCGCGTGTTTCACTGTTTTCGGTTTATTATTATTATCTTTATTAGTATTTATCGGCGAGGGCGAAAAAACCATCGCAACGGGCGAGGCTCGAACTCACAAAGGTTTCGGACGCATCTCTTAGAGGAGTGTCTTTCATCTCTAGTCTGAATTCTTGAAAAACTCATCATTGATCATTGAGGTTTTATGGCGCTCCACAAAGCACAAGTATCGAATCTTGAATGAATTGGAATATTGTTCGATATGAAAAACATCCAGAAATAACCAGGATGGCTGAGTGCTTAAGGCGTTGGACTTAAGATCCAATGGACGCATGTCCTCGTGGGTTCGAACCCCACTCCTGGTATGGTATTGTGAATGCGTCTGGCGTTCTCTTTCTGAAGCATATAGTTTCAGTTTGAGCACAGGTGTCTTCTTTGCTTTCGGACGCATCAGGCGTGTCTTTCTTTCTTCTTCTCATCATTGATCATTGAGGTTTTATGGCGCTCTACGCATCTCTTGAATGAATTGGAATATTGTGTCTTAACCAGGATGGCTTTAAGGCGTTGGACTTAAGAAAAACATCTGATTTCTTGAAATTTCACTCAGTTTTCATCTCTCATCTCATCTCATCTTCAACCGCTTATCCGTGGTCGGGTCGCGGGGGTAGCAGCTCTAGCAGGGGACCCCAAACTTCCCTTTCGGGCAACATTAGCCAGCTCTGACTGGGGAATCCCGAGGCGTTCCCAGGCCAGTGTGGAGATATAATCTCTCCACCTAGTCCTGGGTCTTCCCCGAGGTCTCCTCCCAGCTGGACGTGCCTGGAACACCTCTCTAGGGAGGCGCCCAGGTGGCATTCGTACAAGATGCCCGAACCACCTCAACTGGCTCCTTTCTATGCAAAGGAGCAGCGGCTCTACTCCGAGTTCCTCTCGGATGACTGAGCTTCTCACCCTATCCCTAAGGGAGAGGCCAGCCACCTTTCTGAGAAAACCCATTTCGGCCGCTTGTACCAGTTTTCATTATTAAAAAAACACCGCCTCGGGCGAGACTCGAACACACAACCCCTGCATCTAACCCCGCCGTTGTCCTCGCATCGCGTATACACCCTTATTCGAGCGGGTCAGAGTGACCCTCGATCCTTTTTTCACAGCCCTCAGTGTTTTGCAAAAGGAGGAGGAAGAAATACAACAACTTGCGCGTGTTTCACTGTTTTCGGTTTATTATTATTATCTTTATTAGTATTTATCGGCGAGGGCGAAAAAACCATCGCAACGGGCGAGGCTCGAACTCACAACCCCGGCATCTAAATTCGCCATTGTCCTCGCATCGCGTACACACCCCGAATCGAGCGGGTCAGAGCGACCCGCGATCTCTTTTCTCAGGTTTCGGACGCATCTCTTAGAGGAGTGTCTTTCATCTCTAGTCTGATTTCTTGAAAAACTCATCATTGATCATTGAGGTTTTATGGCGCTCCACAAAGCACAAGTATCGAATCTTGAATGAATTGGAATATTGTTCGATATGAAAAACATCCAGAAATAACCAGGATGGCCGAGTGGTTAAGGCGTTGGACTTAAGATCCAATGGACGCATGTCCTCGTGGTTCGAACCCCACTCCTGGTATGGCTTTGTGAATGCGTCTGGCGTTCTCTCTCTGAAGCATATAGTTTCAGTTTGAGCACAGGCGTCTTCTTTGCTTTCGGACGCATCTCTTAGAGGAGTGTCTTTCTTCTCTGGTCTGATTTCTTGCATCTCTGGTCGGGTCGCGGGGTAGCAGCTCTAGCAGGGGACCCCAAACTTCCCTTTCCCGGGCAACATTAGCCAGCTCTGACTGGGGAATCCCGAGGCGTTCCCAGGCCGGTGTGGAGATATAATCTCTCCACCTAGTCCTGGGTCTTCCCGAGGGCTGGAGTGTCTTTCTTCTCTGGCTGATTTCTTGAAATTTCACTCAGTTTTCATTATTAAAGAAACACCGCCTCGGGCGAGACTCGAACACACAACCCCTGCATCTAACCCCGCCGTTGTCCTCGCATCGCGTATACACCCTTATTCGAGCGGGTCAGAGTGACCCTCGATCTTTTTTCACAGCCCTCAGAGTTTTGCAAAAAGGAGGAGGAAGAAATACAACAACTTGCGCGTGTTTCACTGTTTTCGGTTTATTATTATTATCTTTATTAGTATTTATCGGCGAGGGCGAAAAAACCATCGCAACGGGCGAGGCTCGAACTCACAACCCCGGCATCTAAACTCGCCATTGTCCTCGCATCGCGTACACACCCCGAATCGAGCGGGTCAGAGCGACCCGCGATCTCTTTTCTCAGGTTTCGGACGCATCTCTTAGAGGAGTGTCTTTCATCTCTAGTCTGATTTCTTGAAAAACTCATCATTGATCATTGAGGTTTTATGGCGCTCCACAAAGCACAAGTATCGAATCTTGAATGAATTGGAATATTGTTCGATATGAAAAACATCCAGAAATAACCAGGATGGCCGAGTGGTTAAGGCGTTGGACTTAAGATCCAATGGACGCATGTCCTCGTGGGTTCGAACCCCACTCCTGGTATGGCATTGTGAATGCGTCTGGCGTTCTCTCTCTGAAGCATATAGTTTCAGTTTGAGCACAGGCGTCTTCTTTGCTTTCGGACGCATCTCTTAGAGGAGTGTCTTTCTTCTCTGGTCTGATTTCTTGAAATTTCACTCAGTTTTCATCTCTCATCTCATCTCATCTTCAACCGCTTATCCGTGGTCGGGTCGCGGGGGTAGCAGCTCTAGCAGGGGACCCCAAACTTCCCTTTCCCGGGCAACATTAGCCAGCTCTGACTGGGGAATCCCGAGGCGTTCCCAGGCCAGTGTGGAGATATAATCTCTCCACCTAGTCCTGGGTCTTCCCCGAGGTCTCCTCCCAGCTGGACGTGCCTGGAACACCTCTCTAGGGAGGCGCCCAGGTGGCATTCGTACAAGATGCCCGAACCACCTCAACTGGCTCCTTTCTATGCAAAGGAGCAGCGGCTCTACTCCGAGTTCCTCTCGGATGACTGAGCTTCTCACCCTATCCCTAAGGGAGAGGCCAGCCACCTTTCTGAGAAAACCCATTTCGGCCGCTTGTACCAGTTTTCATTATTAAAAAACACCGCCTCGGGCGAGACTCGAACACACAACCCCTGCATCTAACCCCGCCGTTGTCCTCGCATCGCGTATACACCCTTATTCGAGCGGGTCAGAGTGACCCTCGATCTTTTTTCACAGCCCTCAGAGTTTTGCAAAAGGAGGAGGAAGAAATACAACAACTTGCGCGTGTTTCACTGTTTTCGGTTTATTATTATTATCTTTATTAGTATTTATCGGCGAGGGCGAAAAAACCATCGCAACGGGCGAGGCTCGAACTCACAACCCCGGCATCTAAATTCGCCATTGTCCTCGCATCGCGTACACACCCCGAATCGAGCGGGTCAGAGCGACCCGCTATCTCTTTTCTCAGGTTTCGGACGCATCTCTTAGAGGAGTGTCTTTCATCTCTAGTCTGATTTCTTGAAAAACTCATCA